ACGTCAGCGTAGCCGTGGTAGACTCTGGCATAAAACACTTTCATGTTAAAAAAGAAGAGAGGAAGATCACGTGCAACACATGCAGACTTGATAGACTTGACGCCTTGAAGTGCCCGTGAGGGACAAGGAATGGTTAATGTTGGTTTGTGTTGGCTGCGGAGTGGCATGTTGTTGGCTCGAGTAGTCATGGCATGCACGAAACTTCCCCTCCGGAAGTGAATTGTTTCTCAGCTGTCATCTAATAGCATAACTTACTACTTGACGCTAAACAGGAACAAAAAAGTGTTTCACACTCGCCGTTATTCAACAGCTGGCACTGATTCACGCTCTAACGTCTTAATGAACATACATACCCTATAAAGTAGACGGGTGGATCACCGCAGCCATAGCTCATTGGTAGAGCATCGGTCGTGTCATTCGAAGGTCGCAGGTTCTCATTATGCCAGTGGCAAGTCATCTTTTCATCCACTTTTCTATCTTCTGATTTACGTTACGATGACTTCTAATAACATGTAGTATACTTTCTCTGGCATTATTGTCTGTTATCATTATTATTATTATTATTATTCATTCTAACAAAGAAAACCAAGCCCTTGAACTTACCCTTTACTTCCTCAAAGATCTGTTATAGTGACTAATTATTGTGCGCTAGTTTGTTCCTGCATTCATAGTAAGGCGTACATTACCGCGAAATCGGGCAACAAAAAGATAACAGCGTGAGTAGTTAATCATGGTGTGTGTTGCATGTTTTAGCATTTGACTGTGATATGCTCTCGTTATTATTTGTGTTGTTACGCTGGCTCTGCAGAAAATACCGAGCATGGGCTAAATGACGATCTAATAAACCTTTCTATTGCCGTAATTACGATAACGAGCAGGCGATATAAGCCATGAATATTGCAATGCCTAGACGAGGGAGAAGGAAATAGGTGGCTCAAAAACATAACACTGTCTAGCTGCCAAAAAAAAATCGTTCCTTTCTGCATCTGTAACCTAAACCAGCAGAAAAGCAAGCAATAAAGAAAAAAATACAAGCAGGGTTTTCGGTGCAATACAGATGGAACAACTATCCTTCATGATACTTAATCTTATTTTACTGCGGATGCTCTGAACACGTGAGGACATGACGGATTAAAGGTGAATCAAGAAGGCTTCGTGTGTTTCTATAGTACTCTGTTAATGATATCTACTCTCTATCGTGCATAGTAGGAAACCTTGATGATGTTTACATTTACTACAGTTTCCAAATGGTCGAGTATTCCGGAGTCCTCCACTACGACGTCTCTCATCATCGTGGTTTTGGGGCGTTAAAACGCATGATTGATTGATTTTTGGGGTTTAACGTCCCAAAACCACTATATGATTATGAGAGACGCCGTAGTGGAGGGCTCCGGAAATTTAGACCACCTGGGGTTCTTTAACGTGCACCCAAATCTGAGCACACGGGCCTCGACATTTCCGCCTCCATCGGAAATGCAGCCGCCGCAGCCGGGATTTGAACCCGCGACCTGCGGGTCAGCAGCCGAGTACCTTAGCCACTAGACCACCGCGGCGGGGCACGGTACCAACGGAAAGAAAGATTAGTGCACGAGTCACCGTTCCGGGCAACCGTCGTGTGTGCTGATCATTTTTCGTTGATTCTGTAGATCGGCGAGAACGGTCGATTCTTCAACACTCATCCCAGAGGGAAGGCTAACTATATATCTTCGCCAGAAGCAGGGGAGCAAGTTGAATCTTCACTGTGGAGCCTGCCGGTGCTCCCCAGACTCTTGCGCTTGTTGTATTTTTAGCAGGCATCGGGAAGCCCCGCTGCGGTGGTCTAGTGGCTAAGGTGCTCGGCTGCTAACCCGCAGGTCACGGGATCGAATCCAGGCTGCGGCGGCTGCATTTCCGATGAAGGCGGTAATGTTGTAGGCCCGTGTGTTCAGATTTGGGTGCACGTTAAAGAACCCCAGATGGTCGAAACTTCCAGAGCCCACCACTGCGGCGTCTGTCATAGACATTTGGGTGTTTTGGGTCGTTAAACCCCACATATCAAAGCAGGCATCGGGAAGAAACCGTACGCTTGATAGAAGAAGCTATCGAAATTCACAACAAGGGTTCATCTAGTGTCAGCACACTTATCATATCTAAAAAAAAGAAAAAAAAGTAAGACATCACGTCATTTGAAGTCGTTGCTTAGGTACACGAGTTTTCAATAACAACTGAAAAGATGCTCCCACCACCAATGAATTCAGTGTGGGGTGTTGCGCATGCGCGGCAAGCTGCTTTCATTTCTGTAGATTGGTTTCGTTCAATAGAGAAAAACGTTGACAGTTCAGCGCTCTTGTGGTCACTCGTTCTTTCTGCGTCAGTTGTTACACGTGTTGTTCACTTCAGACTGACTAATATGAAGTCAAAGTAATAACAATATCTGTGTTTTTACGTGACAAAAGCAATATGTGATAATGAGGCAGCCCGTTGTGGAAGGCTCCCAACATTTTTGCCATCTGGGGATCTTGAACGCGCTCTGTCATCGCTCAGCGCTCTGGCCTCCATCAAAATGTGACTCAGGGGTCGAACCCACAACCTTCGGCTGATGTCAGTCCGCTGCACTCTATCCCGAATCAATGTAGGTCCTGATATGGAGAATAACAGGCCGGCCCACACAGCATTTGAGAGCGGACTAGACAGTTGAATCAACATAATTAAAACTGGGTATAGGGCTATGTTATATACTTCTTAACGTGCACATTTTCACAGTCTCTCGGGAGTATAATTTTCGGACTAGAGTTTGTTTTCTTTAACCCGAGTTCGCTGTTGATTAATAGGAGCACTGAAGAAAACTACAGCTTTTTTTTTTTTTCGTTTACCGTGGTCTTCAAAATATGCGAAGGTGATGATTTACGGGAAGGTTTTCTCCGACAGAGTGCAAATGCCTTGGCTTGGCTTATAGAACATAATTTTTGCGTTCTTGAATTCTATGTTTAAACAGCAGCCTTTCCACTGCATTTCGTAGCACAATTCCTGGACGGCTTCACAGTTTTAACCGTATCCGGCTCTGTTTAAACAAGACGTCTACATTCGGACAACGACTCAATATTAAAAGCTCAAGTGAACGTGCTACGTACCAGTAAGGCGGCTTTGTCCTACGTTCCAAAAATTTCTGTATACGTCGATCTAAACACATCATTGCTATAAATTACGAAGAGCTTCCTATAGACTATTGTCATTCTTATGAAGGGCCACATACATGGCACAGAAAGGGAACGCAAGACTGAAGAAATTAGTTTCTTCGATTAGAAAAAAAAAATTGAAGAGATCTTGCTGTCATGAAAAATCAGGACAGGTGTAGCTCTAGCTAAAGGCATAGCCAGAATGTTGTTTTTTTTTTGAGGAAAAGGGGGTGGGGTTTAGGCGTACTTTATGCACTTGTGCGTGTGTTTGCTCAACATGTACAGAAGCAAAATTGAAAATTTGCAGAGGGTTTGAAACCTCACCTTTGGCTACTTCCCTGGGTTGGACTGTGCATGTCGGATGTACCTTTCTTTTAAAAACGAAGCTCCTTAAGACGTAGGTACTGCGTCTTCGATATACGCAGTTGTAGGTAGAAACCTCTTGTTTAGTTATTGGTGTATATGATAGATGGCGGTACTTGTATATGACGAATATATTATGAAAAGATGCGAGATGACTGTACTTGGAGTGTTCACAAGATGGACGGACGGACGTACAGACAGACAAGCAGACAACGGACGGACTATTAATGGTTTACCGATAAACCCTTCCGAAGCTTCGCCCAACTCATCATCATTCACTCCGTGGATAAGCTGCGATTTTTCGCTTTCATTCTATCGCGTCATGCAGTGCTCTAGCTAGCTGTTTACTTCATTTGTACGCTGGGTTAGTTGCGCAACACTTAAGTTGCTGTGGGCAACAAAGACTGTCACGCGTTCACATCTGGGAGACAATTATATGCCGCAGCGGGAAATGACAAGTGACATTGACACAAGCTGGCAGAGCCATATCGCAAATGGTTGATCGGGACACTGCAGCTTCGATTGCTGGAAAACGGTCCATACATACACGCATGTGACCGGCGCATCATCGAGTCCTTCACTTCTGTAAAATTGCTTTTGCCGGGTTTTTCGCACACTATGCCACTGCCATCGCGGTCATTTATTGCTAATAAGCTTTGCTTCGACAACGAAATGAAGAAAGGGTGCCATTATTATAGAGGACATAGTTTCTTTTATTGCACACAACACGCAGAGCACTAGATGACACCCTCACAGAAAATAGGGGAGACACAACCATCTTGCGCATGCGTCTGCTGTATAGAGGCCCGATGACCGTTCATAACATACTTATCTTAGCTGCAGTACAATAAGCATTTTTTTTTTTCAGAAATACATGTCGTCCTGCCTTTAAACAACTTCGGTTCTCCTCAGTCGGGAGCTCGGTGCTTGCACGCACAGCGTCAATGAAACCCCAGAATAGGAGAAAGAGACAGACCCTGCTGCGAAGGATCGCATAGTGTCACGGGGTGAATATGTTCCTTTACCCTCAGTACTAATTTACGCGGTTCTATAGTCCGAAAAAAAAAAACAATCCAAAGGACCAATAATTTATTGATGCAGTGGAATCATAATAAGTTTTTAAATTAAAATTGTTTAAAAAGCCTTAAAATGGGTAGAGCTAGCGTTCCGAATGGAATTTGTCTCAGAAAAACAACTATCAGCTCCAGTCACAACATAATACCACAAACAAAGAGCCGCTAAACTCACACACGCTTTTGGTATGCAAAGCTAATATCAAAGGCACTTCTACCGGTCTTCTATTGGTGAGTTGGGTTAACGTCTTGCCCATTCACCGGAGTCGTCGACCAAATCTAGGCCGCCCAGTAGGCCCGCGAAGCCTTGACTAGGCAAGGCCTGGACATCCCGTCGTGCAAAACCTGAGCTTGGGTCATTGAACTGGAGGACGCTAAAAAATTTGGGCAAACCAGCTGACCAGCTAAACACAAAGGCACTTATTTTCACGGCACTTGCATACTAAAACATGAAAACTATTGTGCACGCATACCCCGGCGGAAATTGTCCCAGGGAGGCGAGTTCCTCCGGGGAGAAACCTGGGTAAGTTCCCCATGGCGTAGCAAATACAAGTCGCGCCTACTCTTCAGCCAATATGTCGGCAACCTTCAGGTACTGCCGTATGTGCAGCCAGCAGTCCCGACTGACGTCCACCAGCTGCTTCGCACCATCTTCACGCCTCTGGCAAGTCACGCTATCTCTGACGACACCCACCACACACATGAAGTCATCCATCTCGGATAAGTTCTTCATGCTGGCCTTGATGCGCGAAGTTGCTTCGCTTTCGCTAATCGATGCGAGTTCCTGCACTTTCTCGACGAGTCCCGGGTGTGCGTGCACTAATTCGGCGGCTGTCCCGCAGTATCTGCTCCTATTGCCAGTGACGAAGTGCGCGGCGCGCGTCACCAGCGATGAGTTGCGACGCACGGTCTCCTTGATGGTGAACAGGTGGTCGTTCAGCTCTGGGCACCTGCGCAATTCTATTCGGAGGAGCATGTAGTTACTTGAGACGTTCGGTGACAGCTTCTGGATCAGCGAGGCGGTGGACTTGTAGTCGCGTGGGTAGAAGGACAACTCGCATAGCGTCCGGCTTAAATGTACCATGTCGACCAGTATCTGAGTATCGGTTTCGTCGAAACGAAGACCTGTAAGGGTAAGATTGCGGATGCTCTTGTTGAGAGACATCGCTTGCACCAACCTCCGCTCGGACCTGTCGACCACTAATGACTGGGCGCCGATGAACTCTATACTCAGCTCCCTCAGGATTGACGTGCCTGCGATGTAGTCCGTAATCAGGGAAGCCACGGCACCATGGAACTGGTCACTGCGGATCTTCAGCTGCAGCGTCTGCACGCCAGTGCTCGTAGAAAATAGAGTCATAGTGGTGAGGAGCCGCTCGAAATTGTCAAATTTCGTATCTAACTCAGCGCGGGACAGGTTGTCGCAGTGTCCGTCCACCACAACGTTGTCCTTCAAGACGCAGCGGTCTTGGGCGCCGCTTTCCCGCATGAAATGGTGTATCTTGGCCAAATCTTCGTGCCGAAACTTCTCGATGGTTACCTTAAGGGACGGGTTGTTGGCAACCGTCTCGAAAAACAACTTGCACTCGTGAGTTTGGTACAACGACAGGTCAAGGGTGAGTTCTTCCAACACCTTGTTTTCACCGAGGCCCACCAGCCAGGGATAAATCAGGCTGGACGCACTGTCAAAGCTGTCCATGAAGTGCGTGTCAGCGCATGTGATACTACAGTCGCACGAACTATACCACGCGCATTTGACCAAGTGCAAGCGCCTCAGAATGCGGTTCCTGCTTAGCAAACTACCGATGAGCTTGGTGCTCCCAAAATCTAGCGTGAAGCCTATCAGGCTCAGCGCGGAGATGGTCTGATTATGGAACAATGCAGTGACGATGAGCTGTGCCTCGATAAAAGATTCGTGATAGTGTGTTGTCACGCTCAGGGTGCGCAGCGTCTGGTTCTCGCTTACGTAATCGGCGAAAACTATGGCCCACCGGTTCGAACAGTGGCCTCCAAGACACGTACGTAGTGACAGGGTCTCGATTGTCCGGTTCTCTTTTAGTGCCCGGATGATAACACATGCTTCCTCGAACAGGAGATACCACTGGGTCAAGATCAGTGTCGTCAGTGATCGAGTGCTCTTCAGAAAATCCGCGAGGTCCAATATCGAAGCATGGTCGAGATCCACCTTCCCGAGTGCGAGCTGTTTGAGCTGTTTTAGATGGGACAGCGTTGAGATTATGTCCCGCTGCACGTCCGTGGCTCTGGGCACTACGCAAAACTTCAAGTTTGTAAGGCCTGGGCTCCTGCGCAACGCGTCACACACACTTTGGTGGTCGTTGTCCAAAAGGAAGGAATGTAGTTCACAAGATACGACGCAGCGGTGAAGCGTCAGCAAGTCACGCAGGTATGCAGCAGCCTCGAGCAATTTTTTCGGCTTAACCGAACCATAGCCCTTGATTGCGACGAGCGACAGTTGGCCCGGATAATGTTCTTTCATTTCGAGGCCCACCTGCCAGAAATATCGGTTCCAGATGGGAAGGTCCTTGAAGATGTCGCATATACGACCCTCGCTGCTCGTGCATTGGGTCTGGTTGTTAAAGCCGGACGGAAAACTTTTCGCGAATACCATTTTTGGGCCGAGATAGCACTTGGTTTTCTTTCCTGAGAAACACCGCAAACGCCGCGATAACTGCGCTACTGTTCTGGTATGGTGAGTGGTCTGCGCCTCTAGGACTCCTTGCGGTGTGTTCGGGTGGAACAAGGGGATGTAGGATGATTGACGGAGCGAGAGACGCGGTTCCGGAAGCACTGGGTTATTAGTTACAGGGGTCTGCCCCGTCACTGCTGTGTCGCGTCTTATATAAGCTTCGACGGCATAACGAGGTGTAACAAGTGACGTCACATGACCTGTGACACGTGCTGGGATGTGTTTGACGTCTCCAGTGATTCAGCCCGTTTATTCACGGTTGTTTTTATGTTGCAAGTAGTGCATGTGTGGGCAGCAGCAAAACAAGCCGACGTGCAAGTCAGCGGATTTTTCAATCAATGTTGAGAGCCCAAAAGTGGCACGGTTGCGTCGTTCATTCTATACAGATAGTTGGGAAATGAAGAGCTAGCGTAAAATGTGATCTACCATGAGATTTATCTGGAGAAACTACAACTGATAGCACTCCCGCATCTTCTGTGCGTTTTCGTTCACCGGGTCAAGTGCAAATGTGCGCACTCGTTGATAGCTTTCGAGCTGATGCGAAGAACTAATTTAGATTATCGTTGACAGCCGTGCATGATTCGCAGTGATATGTCGTCGTCTTTCCAGCGAGCTACCTTCATTAAAAGCAGCCACATGCACAATTGCCGCTTTGCGGCGCTCGTTGAGGAAAGCGAGGCCTGCCGTTTTCCGGGAATAATAGTGGAGTGACGATTTATTTATCACCTGTTTACATCACTCGATGCTATATTCCTTTAATTCTCGGTGATTCTGTAACTCTAATATAATGATAATAAAATCTAGGGCTTATATATCCTTCAAAAAGCACGAGATTATTATAAGGGGTGCCACAGTGGAAGGCTCCAGGAATTAGGACCATCTGGCGATGTTTTACGTGCAGTTATATCACACAGTACACAGGCCTCTGCCATTTCGCCTCCACGGAAATGCGACCACAGCGTCCGGGATCAAAGTCGGGACCTTCGTCTGCAGCTCTCTATGCTGCCAAAAAAATGTCGTTGAACAACAGCTCATCACACCGCGGCCGCCAAAGGGTGGGGCAGAGCGCGAGGCTTACCGCGTTTAAGTGTGCAAAGTAGTAGTAGTAGTAGTAGTAGTAGTAGTAGTAGTAGTAGTAGTAGTAGTAGTAGTAGTAGTAGTAGTAGTAGTAGTAGTAGTAGTAGTAGTAGTAGTAGTAGTAGAAAACTTTATTATGTACATAATCCAAGCAGTCTAGAACTCCAGTGCCCCGAGGAATATACAGGGTGAAGAGCGAAGTAAAACCACTCTCGCCGGCCTTGTGCTGCAAATAGCCGGAATGAGCCTCGCTCCCCGGAAGGTTGTATTCAAGAGCCGATAATTGAAGACCGCGGCACGCTTTCTTCTTGGATCATACACGGAATAGACAAAAAGGTTAATGAATGTCACTGCTTCAGAAACAAGGCACCGCTTCTTTCAGCCTGGAAATATAGTGAATTCATAGGCGTATACGCTTAAGAATTGACGGGCTTTATTCTACAGATCCGGGGAGCTGCACGCCATACTCGCGGCACATTCTATTTCCCCCGCCGGCGCATGTTTGCGGAAGAAATTGCTGTTACATCGAATAATGAACGCTGCCCCGCCGCGGTGGTCTAGTGGCTAAGTTACTCGGCTGCTGACCCGCAGGTCGCGGGTTCGAATCCCGGCTGCGGCGGCTGCATTTCCGATGGAGGCGCAAATGTTGTAGGCCCGTGTGCTCAGATTTGGGTGCACGTTAAAGAACCCCAGGTGGTCAAAATTTCCGGAGCCCTCAACTACGGCGTCTCTCATAATCATATGGTGGTTTTGGGACGTTAAACCCCACAAATCAATTTCGCGATCATGCTGCGATTTAAAGCCTGATTCTAATAGCGTCACCATACTTTAAATATATATATATATAATGATTCAAAGTAAAAGATCTGTGGGTCCGGTGCAAATATAGTCAAGAAATAAAGAAGCACACTTACGAAAATTTGATATTTGTTGACGTTTCGGCCATGGCACGGCCTTCGTCAGGATTAACAGAAATACGAGTATGTGGCAGCTTTTATGGGCAGGCATGAACACGTGAGTAGAAAACACGTGCGATCAGCATATGAGTGTCACGAAAATTTTTTGAAACAGCCGTGACTACACTAAAACAACCATTAAAAATGTAATACAATAAACAAGATTATGATCATGTAAAAAGGCATTTGTAACATTCACCATTGACGACGAGGATCACGCATGAAAAAAAAAGTATATGTGATAACCTTTAGGAAGTATAGAATACGTTAGGGATGCTTCTTTAAATATTTCGCAAAATTGCGGATGTTAGGGCATCGTAGAAAGTCATGACACTTTGCCTACGCATTTGCCTAAGCCGGGTAACAAACCATTGAACTTGTGAATCTAGAACGATTCTCGAATTTCGCGAGCCCCGCCGCGGTGGTCTAGTGGCTAAGTTACTCGGCTGCTGACCCGCAGGTCGCGGGTTCGAATCCCGGCTGCGGCGGCTGCATTTCCGATGGAGGCGCAAATGTTGTAGGCCCGTGTGCTCAGATTTGGGTGCACGTTAAAGAACCCCAGGTGGCCAAAATTTCCAGAGCCCTCCACTACGGCGTCTTTCATAATCAAATTCCAGCTTTGTTAACCAAGCATCGTGCTGCCATGACGTGTTGGACGATGTATTTGCCACAAACAATCTGTCCTGGCAGGAAAGCAAGTGCGCTGCATTGGCGGCGTTATCGCGTCGCGTGACATTGCTTAGAACATCACAGTGAACGGCTGAGTTCCTGACCACGGCAAGTTATTTTTTCATCCACTTTTATTTCTTCACATCTTTACATTACAATTAGGTATAATAGGTTCCCCTATACTTTCTATACAACATTGTCTGTTAGATCTCAATGATATTGTCTGCAAGACAAAACGAGCCCTTAAGTGTACTCTTCCATCTGTCATTCATTCACGACGGTCTCGTTCAGGCAGGCTTGGCGCGTTTAGGTAGTATACGAGGCATTTTTGGTCAGATGGCAGGTCACAATAAGTCGGCATGCTACGTGACGCCAAACATGTTGATAAAGAGTGCACCACACTCGCCGCCATGGCTACTGGTGTCGCTGACGGACACTCCCACGTTTAAGTTCACATATATACCCAATAAAGTGGATGGGAGATGGCCGTCGTAATAGCTCAGTTGGTAGACCATCGAACGCGTTTTTCGAAGGTCGCAGGTTTGGTTCCTGCCCAGGGCAAGTTATCCTTTTATCAACTTTTCTTCCTGCACACTTTTACATTACAATTAAGTGTAATAACTGTCCTTGTGCTTTCCTTGAGTTATTGTCAGTTAGATCTTATTAATATTGTGTCTAACGAAAAAAAAGGAGCCCTTATGTACATATACACATCCTTATCAAGCGCCCAAGACCCTAAAAACTCTTCTTTATTGTCTCGAGTATGTGCGCCACAACCCAAACATGAGTGGTGATGATGAGTATGTACAGATCAGTGAAGATGAAACGCATACATAATGCTAACTATATATATATATATATATATATATATATATATATATATATATATATATATATATATATATATATATATATATATATATATAATGATTCAAAGTAAAAGATCTGTGGGTCCGGTGCAAATATAGTCAAGAAATAAAGAAGCACACTTACGAAAATTTGATATTTGTTGACGTTTCGGCCATGGCACGGCCTTCGTCAGGATTAACAGAAATACGAGTATGTGGCAGCTTTTATGGGCAGGCATGAACACGTGAGTAGAAAACACGTGCGATCAGCATATGAGTGTCACGAAAATTTTTTGAAACAGCCGTGACTACACTAAAAAACCATTAAAAATGTAATACAATAAACAAGATTATGATCATGTAAAAAGGCATTTGTAACATTCACCATTGACGACGAGGATCACGCATGAAAAAAAAAGTATATGTGATAACCTTTAGGAAGTATAGAATACGTTAGGGATGCTTCTTTAAATATTTCGCAAAATTGCGGATGTTAGGGCATCGTAGAAAGTCATGACACTTTGCCTACGCATTTGCCTAAGCCGGGTAACAAACCATTGAACTTGTGAATCTAGAACGATTCTCGAATTTCGCGAGCCCCGCCGCGGTGGTCTAGTGGCTAAGGTACTCGGCTGCTGACCCGCAGGTCGCGGGTTCGATTCCCGGCTGCGGCGGCTGCATTTTCGATGGAGGCGGAAATGTTGTAGGCCCGTGTACTCAGATTTGGGTGCACGTTAAAGAACCCCAGGTGGCCAAAATTTCCAGAGCCCTCCACTACGGCGTCTTTCATAATCAAATGGTGGTTTTGGGACGTTAAACCCCACAAATCAATTTCGCGATCATGCTGCGATTTAAAGCCTGATTCTAATAGCGTCACCATACTTTAAATATATATATATATATATATAAACAGTTCACTCCGCGCTTTGCGTTATTGTTCAGTAGAATGAGTGACGCTGAAAACCACTCTGTAAACAGCAAGGAGGTTTAAAATATTTTTTTAAACCTCCTTGGCAAATAGTACTGTCGGATACATAAAACGCGCACGTTAATTGTTAAAAGGGATGAGAGAGGGTAGGAACATTCGCGATGTTGTGGGCATTTTTCCCGTCACATAGGCGTATTGTTTGAGTCGCATTGTCGTCGGCGACGTCGGCTGCCTTGGTGGCGAGCCCGTGGCGTTCCTGTTTCCGACAATCCTTTCTAATCGCGATGCCCTCAAACTTTCCAAAACAAGCTCCGTCGGCCCAGTTTTCACGTCGGCGCAGAAACTGAGAGGAGAGAATCGCTTGAAAAGGGCGCAGCGGGGATTCGTTGACGGATTGCAGAGTTGGGAGGAGTGGGAGTGGAGTTACGATCTCCACAACGAAAC